CGGCCTGGTAAACATAGAAAAAAGCTATTGAAAATGGCCATAGAAATCGTGGATTTACCCATACAACATGGTGATTTTCCATAGTTATGTAAACGTTTACCAGAGGGTATCCAGAATTGTTGTCCCCAGAAAATGCGAACTGGAACTGGATGGAGCTGGATTTGCCAGCTCTTCTGCAGGACTTAAGCTTCGCGGCCCCAGAGCGCAGCGTTGCAGCATGGCTTGAGATTTAACCAGTTAATCTTGGGGTTTTCGAAGTCATGAGGGAATTTTTTCGGAGCTCGAAATGATCAACCCTCAAAATGGATTGGTTAGGACGAGTCCGACAGCCTTTATCTGGGTCCAGACTCGATCCCCCTTTGTGCTTGGGCCATTTTGGTTTGTTCAATTGGTCACTGGGGTATCCCCATGAAGCGTCGTTCTATCTACTTGCGTCCATAGATGATTCTAGGTTGTAAGATCTTTTCATATCTTTTCCCTAGGTAAATGTATGTAAATGTCTTGTTTTGGTGATGTTTTTCACGGAAAGAACATCTGCATCTGTAGAAATGTCAGAAGTTGGGTGGGGCAAAACCCATGACATCGCCTGGTCGCCCCAAGCCCTGCCTACGTGACCCGACGGCTGCCTGAGGTCACGTCCCGGTCGCACCTTCCGGCGGCTTCCGTTACGAGCGTGGCTGGGAGCCGCAGGACGTTTTCGGCGATGTGAGGCGTCGAGATGTTGGGACTTTTACTAGCTACCCTCTGGTTATGACTAACAGTTCGCCATGGAAAATCACCATGCTATTAATTGGTGTTTACCATCTATTTCGATTAGGGCCATTGTCCATGGCTATGTTAAATAACCAGAGGGTAATTGATCGGGGATTATGATACATAGTAAGGACACTGTTTTCAAGCAACTAATCATATAGATTCATAGAATAAGATGGGATAGGGTATTTTCAATGGCTCTATAGACATATGTGACATGGTGAAAAGTTGGACTATACACAGTCCCAAAAAGATCGGAACGAATTTTATCACTATTTAAGTTGTTTTTTCTTTCTATCTTTTTTGTGGTTGCTATACTCATTATTTGGGAATGGTCATCATTCTATTGTGTAATAGAGATTTATATACCCATTCTGTTTGGATTCCTACTATGGGATGGATGAACACCATGTGTTAACCATGACCATGGCACTATGAATGTAAATGTGTCTGTACGTACATAGTATATCTACACACTGCTCAGGCACACACACACACACAGGTGCCAGCAGAAACGATGCCCAAGATATGGCTATCCGGCTGGATGATCACCCCAGGAAGTGGATATACAACCATTGGACCATAGTAGCTATGGTAAAAAGGGGCCACATATCCCAAGGTCTGGAGTAAAAACACCATGGCCTTTTCCACAGCTACGGTTCTTATTCCAACTGTGGCCATCGGTTGATCCATTGTGGTTAAACCTGGGTCTGACGATGCCCAAGGCCCTGGGATGGAATGGCAAAACATCGAAAAAGGATCAAAAAGGCCAGGTTTTAGGATGCTCACTAGTAGAAATCTGCACAGCTATGGAACATGGCCGATTTCTAAACAAAAAAAAAACTGTTTTTTCATAGCTATGTAAACTTACCAGACGGTAGAATCCAATGCAATTGGGCGGTTTCAAAAAAACTAGTTGGTTGATGATTGTACGGGGTTGAACTACCTAGATTATATATCATATTGAATGAGCTGGGAATTCCCAGGACTTGTAACTATAACCAACCATATACCAACCATTATATCACTAGGTTGATGATACCGCTGAAATGGGATTTCAGCCCCCAAGAGTGAGCACATGAGTTGCGATTGATGGTTGATGGTTGCAACTACTATGATGAATGCATATATTTTTTTCCAACAGAAATAGGCGATGGAACATCTGTCTCATTTGCCAACAAAAATGGACGCATCAACCAGTTGTGGATGGTTTTGTTGGGTTTCGCCACCAAAAGAGTCGCCCAGCACCCCCCGAGGCCTCGCGTGGGCTCTCCGAGTCTGTGCCGACCCTCGCCGCGGCCGCAGCCTTCGCGGGTGCAGCGGCGGTGTTTGGCGCCAGACCGCGAGGTGTGACCTGGTCGTGGGTCCTTAATGGTCGTAGCCATCAGTAACCCCCCAAAAAGATGCAGAAAGGCTAACTGTGTCACTATTTTGATAGTTTTTGCTTCTCTGGATTTTTTTTTGCAGGGGTGCTATGGGTCGATATTGATAGATTTTGTTTTCTTGCGGTGGAGGAATATAGCAGCATGCACCAGCCAATTTTCCCAGGCTACCTAAGTTTGACTTTGACAAGATCATACTAGCAAAAAGAGGATGATGGGCAAGATAGGATTGATAACAGGAATACTTCATGATTGACAATGTCGATTTCCCAAACAGCTGATCCACCGAGTGCCATCGAGTTGAGGATAGTTGCCAAACAGGGAGCCATAGATCCAACAAGATATGGTGTGGATGGCGGAAATCCCTACCCTGTTTACCAACTCATGAATCTTGTTCACATACCCTGGCCGTTACGTTGGTTGATTTTGCCTTCGTGGCCGAGATGCTAGCGAGAGATTCCTACTTCGATTCAATATACAGCAGTGAGGCAACTTACTGGAAAGAAATTTGAAATATGTCGGGCTGCAACAGACCTGAGTTGCTCGTTGCAATGTCAACCAATGAGTGGTTACCCTGGTTGATTGGGATTAGGGAGTACCCCCCCAAAATAGTTCTGATTTGCAAAATGATACCCCTACCATTGATCAGCAGCCTAGCGGTGTTCACAAAAGCCTGGCTTCCCCCTGGCAGGTGCCCGCAGTTCGGCCACCGCGCTACGCGCACGTGGAGGGGTACGCCGGGGCGTGGTGATGGGAGAGGGTGGCCGTGACAATTTTAGGAGATCTAAGGGGCAAAGAATCGTGAAGAGCCCTCACTGAACGTGGAGTTGAGCCCGTTCAAACACTTTGGAGAAACTGCTTCAGGGATTTCAGGGGGCTTGGTAATTTTGCATTATTTCCACAAATTGCGACAGGTTTTTGTGGGTCGGACTCAAACATAGGCAATTTCCTGGAGCAAATGGACCATGCTTGCCTTCGCAAAGCAATATTTTCAGTTCTGAGAGGGGGTCCCTGGGTCCCTGGGATCATGCACACGACATCAACAGGTGACGGAATCTGGGATGAAACTTGCCCCCAAGAGATACCTGCATCTTCTGGGCACATGGCACAACAAGATCATCAAAAGTTCAGCCCTTTCAGCCTTTAGTATACGTAGGACAGGCTTTCCAAGGGGGAAATCGATCACCTGCAAATACATGTAATACAATATAATGTAATCATTACAGGTCGGTGGTTCATTATTATTATTATTACTATTATTATCAAACTATCCATAGCAATCCATCCATCTATCCAACTACTATGAGTTTATGATTGGTATATGATTGGTTTAGTGATTATCCATCTATCCATCATTATCCATCATTATCCATCATTATGTATTGTTATTATTATTGCTATTACGGCGTCAGACCCTGAGCTTCGCCCAGACTCCAAAAAAGCTGATGATGGTCAGCTTGGGTTTGAACATGCAGAAGTCCCAGCTGGTTTGATGTTAGGGTACCAGAAGATTTGACCCACAGCCACATTATCTTTTTATTCTGATCATATATTGATACGTATTATTACTATTACACTTTGTAAAGACACATTTGTTTCAGCTTTGGACTAGTGGTGTCTCTATATCCCTTTTGTCAGGCTTCCCCAAGCAGCTAGCACCCAGACGCACTTGGGTACACTACCCGTGTATGCACCAACATGTTTCAGTAGCTGACATCTTGAGTAGGTATCCCCAAGTTCCAATTAGATGTGCACCCCAGTTATATGGGATATCAATATTCACCATGTTTAAAACCCAGCTGATATGGGAACACTATGGAACTATATAGGTTACTATCTCGTTACCAACTAGGATGCAAATTTGGGCATGTTTATCGTCTCATTTTTCGGGTAGCGGGGTATTTTGAGCCACCACAAGTGGATGCTTGACACTCAAGTTATACTCAAACTATGGTATACCATGGATTAGTTCTTGTGGGAAAATCTCTTTGTTGGAAACCAGGCGTTTTACTTTTTTTTTTTTAAATAAAAAAAACATATGTTTTCACCATGAATTTGATGATGTTTCCACATCATTTTCACCTTTTGGCTTTTTGGCCCGCCAGGATGAGGACTACTATCAGACCTTGGGCGTCAGCCGAAGTGCCTCTGAGAGGCGAATGTGAAGCAAGGGAAGTGGTGTGATGACTACCCTCTGGTTATGACGTGACTAACATAGCCATGGTTAAGCCATGGCCCTAATCGAAATAGATGGTTTACCGAACTTAATAGCATGGTGATGGCTTCCATGGCTATGTTAAAGTTAAATAACCAGATGGTACCGGTCATGCGATTGTTTTTTTGTAGTGGTTAACCAGAATGATTCTAATGATGACTTAATTGAATGGGTTTTACCAATGAAAAGGGGACACTAATATGAACATTGATTCGATTAGATCACCATAAAAGATCAACCAGCATGATTTTATGGTGATGTAGTTGTAATATACCTTTTAAAATGCGGTTTCCCTCCAAAAAACTGACACTGTAGACTATGGAACGTGGTATAACGTGGTCCATTTAAATACACAAAATACCCATCCACTGCTAAACTAGGAGTTTGCTATAGCAGCCATGGCCCATTTTGTGAGAAATGAATGGTGATTTTCAGTTTGCAAACTGTTGAATTACCAGAGGGTAAGACATTTTTTTTTACCCACATAACACTCTGGGAGGTGACAGCCAGGGTTTTTTCCATGTTTGCTGGATTTGCTGCCGATCAACGGCCAACATTTTTCCCAATGGAAAATCGGGGAATCTATAAGATATAAGCAAATCCAGGTATCCAAGCCTCCTGGTGGCATGTTGAGCATGAGATATCACCCT